ATTCATAATAATTGAAGTACTAATCCTCAAGTTACATTTCTGGCTAAAATACTTTGTTGGTGACTAGAATTCATTCAATTTTGCATCTGGTAGGACTTATTTTCTTGGGGGTCCTATGTATAGTTGATAATTAAGCTAGTGATTTCTTTAGTGCCTTAAGTTTGTGATTATACGGTTATACCAGATAGATTAATCAATAATCTTTTTTGATTTTTTAAAAATATAGAGAGATAGAATTATAATTTGATGTTGCTTATTTTATGTCTGCTTCTTGGCTATGAATATAGGCATACAGCTTCAATTGCATCAGGAAACCATGGTATTCCGGTTGTTGTATCTGGGCATCTCTTTGGAAATGCAAGTGGGATGGCTCCTCGCTCACAGTAATGCATCTGAACCCCTTTTTGTTGCTATCAATAAGAGTAGTCCATAAATTTCCTTTAAAATCTTTGTTAAAAAATCATACATTCCCTTATTTACGAGTATTTTTCATGGAAATAGTCATTAAGGGGGATTTTGGCTTTATATTATAAACATGAATAGTGAGTGAAGTCAATAATTTCAGGCACAATAAAGGTTTATGAGGCAAATAATTCCTTTAATAGCAGTAGAATATCAATAATCCAGAAGCTAATTTAAATGCAAGTTCAGGTTGTTGGAATACGCAATTGACGTTTTTAGCTTATTGTTTTCAAAAGCAACTTACATATTCTAGAAGGTGTCTGGTTGCTGTTTCATTTTGGAGCATTAAATTTATCATGTTGGTTACGTACGTTCTAGCTAAATTTAGATTATAGAAATTAATAAAACACAACTCGTTTAATATCTGAGCTATTTCCTCAACTTATATAAGCCATCAACCAATTGTCTCATATAGTCATATCTAGGCTGGTTGGTCTACATAAATCCCTTGTTGTTGGCTAACAATTATAGATGAGTGCCAATGTAGAAAGCTCAGATTAAGATTATTTTCTACTTTTTTGGTTTACTGATTCTTTCAGAACGACCATTAGCTATTACGACAACTGTTCCTTTTATTAGCATATACCATATTCAGTAGTTGAATGAATTTATAGATCATACATTCACCCAATTTATTTCACTCTTTTCAGTGTTGCTATATACAAGGCATTGTACAAGGGTTTTGGTGGATTTGCTGCTGATGTAGTGGCAGCCATAGACCAGGTACCTATCAGTTACTTATTCATTATGATGTTATGGTACAAATTTCTAGTCTCTTCAAGTATGACGGAGGACACTGCATTTGTACCCAAGTGACTCCGGAGGGGGGAAGGGTGTGTGTGTGACTGTGATAGTGTCATGCAAGACAACTTGTTTCATACATATTATTCTTTGTTAGCTCATTTAGTTGTTTCCTAGAACTCGTTAGCAATCTAGTTCAATAAAAAAAAATTGCTCTTATAAAAACCCTGATGATGAAATTTCTTCTTGTTTCCTCTTTACTAACTGTATAGGTTCATACTCATTTATGCAGGCAGCTCAGGATGGTGTTGACATTCTTAGCTTATCGATCACACCCAATAGGCGTCCTCCAGGAGTTGCCACATTCTTCAATCCCATAGACATGGCCTTGTTAACAGCTGTCAAAGCTGGTATATTTGTAGTACAAGCAGCCGGAAACACTGGTCCAGCTCCACGCAGTATTTCTTCCTTTAGCCCATGGATCTTCACAGTAGGTGCTGCTTCTCATGACAGAGTTTATAATAACTACATATCTCTTGGCAACAATGTGACCTTATCAGGGGCTGGACTTGCGTGTAAGTCTGAAACTTTTCCATATGCATTTATGATAGTATTGTTTTGCTGGAAAACCAATACTAAGATTAGACTCTAGTTAGTAGTTACTCAGCTCAATTTATGATAGTATTATGGTACTGCTGTGATGTGTGTTAATATAATTATTGATAAGGGTGCCATTGTTGTGGTTGAAGTTAAGAACATCCTTAGAATTTGAAAGTATTTGCTGGTCCATGGGATTTGGTGGCTGTTTCTCGCTTTCCTGTTGAACTCATGCAGCCGGGGCTTTTTGGGTGAATTGACATCCGTAACACTTATGCGTTAGTATTTGTGCATTGGTCCATGGGATAGCAGTGCTTAATACTCCAGTACTGCTATAATCAAAAGACTTATTATCATGAAGGTTGTGCAACTTTCTATTATTTGGTCTTGGTCGTAATTTCTAGCCGTGTTTCAGTTAGCAATAATAATTAATAAGGATCATTATCCAGAAAGCTTGAATTAGGCTAAATAAGTAATATTTTTCCTGTTTATCTGATTCTGTGTCATATTTGGCCATCACAAAATTCAAGCTACTCATTCTTTTCTTGGTCTGAATTTTTTATTTGGTTCACAGCGGGTACAAATGACACTATGTATACATTGATCTCTGCTGCGCATGCTTTGAGCAATGATACTGCTGCTCCAACTGATATGTACGTTGGGGAATGTCAAAATCCCAGTATTTTAAATCCAGACCTTGTTGCTGGAAACCTTTTGATTTGTAGTTATTCAGTACGTTTCGTGCTAGGAGTTTCCACCATCAAACAGGCTCTGCAGACTGCCAAGAACCTTAGTGCAGCTGGTGTTGTGTTTTACTTGGATCCTTTTGTTTTAGGGTTTCAGATAAACCCAACTCCTATGGATATGCCTGGCATCATAATTCCTTCAGCAAATGATTCCAAGGTACCCTTTTATTTATTTAGTAATTTTTAGATTTGAGTACAACGAAGCATGTAGGGACAGTCAATAATTTCCTGCTTCTAAGCGTACCTACATTCATCTCAAATTGTCAATAAGATTATTAGAGATCCTTGCATGTGCAACTTCACTGTATCTTCCGTTCATCCTCATCAATAATTTTTTTTCCTTTGACAGGTTTTACTCCAATATTACAATACCTCTTTGGTGAGAGATGGGACCACAAAAAAAGTTGTTAAATTCGGAGCGGTAGCTAGCATTTCTGGTGGACTGAAGCCAGATTTCAGTTATTCTGCTCCGAAGGTGATGTACTACTCTGCTAGAGGTCCAGATCCAGAAGACAGTTCTCTTGATAATGCAGATATACTGAAACCAAATCTGGTTGCTCCAGGAAATTCAATATGGGGTGCTTGGAGCTCACTTGGCACTGATTCTACTGAATTTCTAGGTATATATTCTATTAAATGATGTCTTGCTGATAATGAATATGGGTAAATCGAAGGTGAAACTAACTTTCTTGCATCAAAATGTAAATTATATAGGGGAGGAGTTTGCTATGGTGTCTGGGACAAGCATGGCTGCTCCTCATGTTGCAGGACTGGCGGCTCTAATTAAGAAGAAATTTCCTAGTTTCAGTCCAGCAGCTATTGCCTCAGCTCTTTCGACGACAGCTTCACTTCGTGACAAGAATGGAGGGCCAATTATGGCCCAGCGTGCTTATTCTAACCCAGATGCGAACATATCTCCTGCAACTCCATTTGACATGGGCAGTGGATTTGTTAATGCAACTGCTGCTCTAGATCCAGGACTCATCTTCGATTCAAGTAAGTGTCACATTTTTGGGAAACTATTATATGTTTTTGTCGCCAATAGGGTTTAATGATGAACTGCTAATGAATGATGATTCTTCCTTCTGTTATTTGTAATTTGAAGTGATAATGGATATGGTCATTTAATTTCTCATGCATCACAAGCTAACTGCAATCAGGTGTGAATTAATCTTGTAATTCCATGTTACATGGGCAAAGGATTTTTAAATGCCTCCATATATGGATATAACTAGGCTTAGCCCCGATTATATGACTCAAATTTTGCACTTAGTGAGGGATCTAATTTGAACACAGGCATATAAATCAGCATGGGTTCATCTTTGAGTTCTGCACTCAAGTGGTTCGAAGCAATGTCGAATGCAGTTGCATAAGATGTATCTAACTCCATGCATCTTTAAAGAAACGTCTTTTTTAACTTGTCAGAATTGTGATTTTGTTTGATAATGGTCTGGTAACAAGTCATCTCTGAGGCTCAATGTATGTTATAAGTTTGATGCCGTGGTAAATTGGTAACGTGTTATGGAATGACGAAATTTGACACCAACATTGTTATAAATCTGACAAATGCACACTTTTTCAGACAATTTTTTTGGTATTACCTTTGATATTTCTTTGCCTTCATCTTTGCTCAGCAATAAAATCTGACAACTATACACTTTTTGATGCTGCAGCCTATGATGATTTGGTTTCCTTCCTTTGTGGTATAAATGGTTCAGCTCCAGTAGTGTTAAACTACACAGGTCAGACCTGTGATGGGATTCCTACCATGATTGGCTCGGACTTGAACTTACCCTCTATTACAATCGGGACACTAAACCAAACTAGAGATGTCAATCGAACAGTTTTAAATGTTGGTATGAATGAAACCTTTCGTGTTGGTTGGAGCGCTCCTTATGGTGTTTCTATGAAGGTTGTGCCCACACACTTCGTCATTGCAGCTGGAGAGAAACAGGTACTGACTGTATCTCTGAATGCTACTATGAATGGTACTGCTGCTAGTTATGGTAGGATAGGTCTTTTTGGGGATCAAGGTCACACTGTAAACATCCCTTTATCTGTCATCTTTAGATACTCTTACAATGTAAGTAGCAGTTGATGACTATGAAAATGATTATTTCTTCTATTGTCCGAGCATGGAGGTCGGCTAATTGTATCTTACTAATCTTTTCACGGGGGTGCTGATTAATTTTTTTGATTCAATACATGTAAAGTAGTTGTACTTTGTTCAGAATGTAGATATGTGAGTGTATGATAATTAAAAAGAAAACTTTCTATTTCTGCACCTTTCCATTGATATTGGGAGTAAAAGTTCTTATAATGTACTACTAGTAGATGTGGCTAGTCCAAACAATGATATTTTCAAATAGATTATTGAATATAATGATCTAAGAATGAAAAGCAGCCGTCCTTTTTCTTTATTCTTCCATTTAGCTGCTTCTTCTGTGGAGAGAATCAGGGGTTCAGGGTTTCATCATTACCTGGATTCATTGTTGATGGATTCTGTGGCATCATTTTAGCTGGTGGATTGGGGAAGCTGGGTGGAACGCCACTTGGGGTGCCGGGGATGGGCCCTGTGCCGGGGATTGAAGGATTGGAAGGTCCTGTGGGTATCGGTGAAGGGATGGTGGGCATTGAAGGGTAGGTAGGCAAGTTGGGGAAGGGATATAGGGGGAGAAAGTGAGGTGGAAGAAGTGGTTTGTGAAATGCTGGAAAAGCCATTGATGCTGCAGGCTTATTTTGAGAGGGTGCTGCCATGGCTGGCTGTCCAAGCTGGGGTGACGGATCGGTTAAGTTATTCTGTAGCAAATGACGGGCAGCCACTTGGTGCGAAGTGAAGCAAGCAACCAGCAAGAGAGCTAGGAAAATGATTACGGAGTAAGTATGAGACATCTTTGTTGATATTCTTTGATTCAAGGATTTTAACAGATGATGAAAGGGTTGTTTTCGAGTCGAGGTTAAGTGCTTTTGACTTTTGAGTCTGAAAGAGGGTTATATTCTTATATAGTGTGCTGGAGAGGGTTGAAATGATGCATTGCATGGTGATTCTAATCCAAACCTAATACATTAAATCAGGTTTTGCATGTTACAAGGGTAATATAGTTGGACAAAAAGAGAGTTCACATGTTATTTATGAAGTTTGACTAACTTGTAATGTCAAGGAGGGAAAAATGTTATAGGTGTTGCAAAAGTTGCAGTTTCTAACATTTTCTGGATATGAGAATTGAGCTCAGGCATATATAGTGCCAAATTTTTTGTAAGAACAGACAGAGAAAAGGGAAGAAGGGGGGGGGGGGGGGGGGGGAGTTATCTCCTAGGTGACTTTAACATCTTCTTTGGTTGTTGATAGGTAATAAATAGTGGTAATGGTAAAAAAAAAAAAAAAAAAAAAAAAATTTCATGCGTTCCCATGGTAATGCTATTTCCTCAAATATTTTTTTTATTCAAAATTTTCATTACCACTCTAAAGATGGTATTGTGTGGTAGTATTTCTTAGCAAAATTATATATACAAATCTATTACCATTCTCACAATTTATGATCACTCACCATGGTTGCAATAAGAGATTGAGAAATTAGTTGTTAGCGGCTTAGCGTCAGACTAGGAGTAGGGGGAATGGATGAGGGGATACAAGATTTTTTCGCTAGCACACTTGATGATTATACTCCTTCCGGTTCACAATATAGGTCGTTTTAGCTGTAGTTTATTGATCCAAAATTTAGACTGCCTTAGGTTATTGGCAAGTGTGTAATACATCTATATTTTTGAATTCACATAATCTTGTTATATGTACTAGATGAAAATCAAATCTCAGAATCAGAAACCCAAACAAAAGATCTGTAATTTTAATATTTGCTGTTGTGCTGATAAGCTCGTTTCTTTAACATAAAGAACACTGCATACAGAGGATTTTAACACAATGCACATTACAATTCTGGAGGAGATGCACGGAACTGCCATTCGTGAATGGTGATTCTCCTCCTTGGAGCCTGAGTTGCTGTCTCTGGCTCTCTACATGCCGTGGACTATCATCTATGCTGTCCCCGACTTGAATTTTTTGTCTCGTTATAGTTAGATTTCTCATCCTCTTTAGCATACACCCCAAGGTCAAATTTCAGAGATCATCCATACTACACTTCCCCAGTTCCCCCTCCTCTGCCATGGCCTGTACCTGCGCTATGCCTTTTATGGTTTTGTCATCTTTGCTCAATTCTTCTACTTTACCTCCGTGTTGAATAGCCTTCTTATAGATAGTACCTCTTGGCAATTTGCAAGTGTAGTGATTAGAGTGAACAATTGAACATCACAAGTTCATCTGTTCAAGTCTTCGCGAGCCACTATGTACTCTTTTTCTTAACATTTTGATGCTTTTCACACTTTTGTTTGTTCTATGAGAAGTTGAAAACTCAGTAAAAGTAAACTACATGAGATTGTAACATGGTTCTATACATGGTCTACATCAACGGACACTACGGAGTAATCATTTTATGCATTCTTGGTTAAGTAAAAAGCTCTCTGAACTCATCTAGTGAAGAAACAATTCTCCCAAAACTCCTTAGATACTGATAATGAGTACCAAGATCCTGATAAACTCGAAGAAATACTGATGGAGTGAAATGGGAGTCTGTGAATCAAATTCCGGAGTGCAGAAATCATCGACTCTGTGTAGACTCTCTAAGTAGACTATAACTAGTTATCCTCTAGTAAACGAAGCTTGTGCTGTTTCAATAAGGAACTAACGTGACATGCCTCTCAGATGGGATGACCGTTGTTCTGGCTTAAATCTTGTTAATTTCATGAAAGGAGTTGATTGCTTATTTGGAGGTAAAGTAGTAATACTCCTGATAACATGTACATATACAAGTATTATTATCGATAAATTGAAAAGAAAATTATATGTTTTTGCAGCTTCTATTAATGTATTGGAAGTAAAAGTTCTTACAATGTACTACTAGAGTACTAGTAGATATGGCTAGTCCAAACTAAGCTAAATTTCTATTATATTATTGGACATAATGATCTAAGTATGAGTCTCGTGGAAGACCGGCTTATATTATTCCATCAGATCAGTTGCTACTTCTGTGGAGATGTTTCAGAATCAGGGGTTCGTACTGGGAGTACTTGACGGATTCTCTGTTGTCAAGTTAGGTGGTGGAATGGGAAAGCTAGGTGGCACGCTGCCCGGGATACTGGGGAGGGATCCCGTGGGAATCGTAGGGAACGTTGGTCCTGTAGGTGTGGGCAGTGAAGGGATAGTAGGCATGCTGGGGAAGGGTATAAATGGGAAGAAGTGTGGTGGAACAAGTGGTTCCTGAAATGCAGGGAATGTCAGTGATCCTGGGGTTTTTCCGAGTGAGGGTGTTGGTAGTCCAAGCTGGGAAGACGGATCGAATAGGTTCATTTGTAGCAAATGGCGTGCAGTTGCTTGGCCTGAAGTGAAGCAAGCAATCAATGAGAGAGCAAGGAAGAAATTTCGCCGCGTAGTGTAAGGCATTTTTGGTGATGTTCTTTGAGCACAAAATGTTTAATAGGGAATAAAGATGTAGATTTCTAATAAGGCAAGGCTTAGTGACATTAACTTAATGAGTATGATAGGAGTTTTATATTGTGTAAAAAAGTGTATAAATGATGCATTGCATGGTAGTTCTAATCCAAACCTAATAGTTTCAAAGTCAAGTTCACAAGTTATCTATGAAGTTTGACTAATTTCTTATGTTGAGTAAAAAAACAAAAAATCCAGTTTTGTTCAAAGTCATAATTGTTGTTGAATTAAGAACAACTAGCTAGATCGGAAGAGAGTCTCGGCGAGTGGTTTTATTTTCTTTTAGGTGTTTTTTTTTCCTATCATTTCATCCTTTCGTGCAGATTTAGTTGTCACATTACTAGTTTAAATTACACTTCGTTGTATTAATGTGACAATTTAATATTGAATGAAGACATTTTATAAATTCAAAGCCTAAGGTAGCTAATTTATAGTTCCTACTAATTAAAAATTAAACACAATGCAGAGACTTGAAAACCCAAAAAGGTTAAACTACTGATAATCAAAACATAGAAAATCAGAAGCAATAAGCTTCAACAATAAGAATTTGCTGCACATAAATTTTTACCAAGATTTAATAATTTTATCAAAACTACAGTATATAATAATTTGTAATAGATAAAAAAAAAAAAAATGTTACAGAAAAAAGAGGGAATATATACTAGAAAGTATGAAGAAAAGAAAGAAAGGAAGCTTCTTTAACACAATGGAAATCATATTAATCTCTGCAACTTTTTTTTTATCATTCATATTCATGATAATAAGTTGACATAATATAAATGTGATAGCTAGTCAAATATAAAAGGATGGTAAGATGGCTACAGTTTCGATAAAGCTACTGCTAAATCATTTCCAAAACCTTCACCTTAATCCAAACCACACCTACTGTAAATATAAGTACTGAAAGAAAAACTTCTGTTTCGAATTTAGTTTGCAGAGACAATTTAAAGTAATTTCTTAAGGCTTGCTGTTGTTACTGCTTTCAGCTGAATTCTCATTTTGATCGCGCAGTTCCTGTGACTTCTGCACCATTCTTCTCATGATCGACGTCTGATAATAAGGTATGTCCTCAGGCGGAGCAGAACCAGAAGCACCATCAGGTATGAGAGCTTGAGTTGAAGCTCTCTGATCAAAAAGTGTCATACACCTTGAAAGTACAAAAGCGTTTCCTCTCGCTTTAAATTCTTCCCTACTCTTCATCTTCTTCTGTATGGCTTTCAAATCCTTTTGCAATTGTTCACATAAAGGATCCCTTGCCTCTCCTGAGACTGTCCGCATCAGTTTTGTTTTTTCCTGTTCAAGAAATGATACAGCTTCGCTTAGCTCTCCTCGTACTGCCATTGCTTGTGCCTTGACAATGTTTTCTGCTATTCCAATGCGGATTATCTCTCTTTCCACCTCTATCTGCATGTCCTCTGTTGAAACGTTCTCAGCTGGTGGCCGGGGAATTTCAACACAGACAATGTCAGACGTTATGTATTGGTTAGAGAGTGGGTCTTTGTAGGAACAATTGACCTCTAACAACTGCGTTGTTAAGGTCTCCTGATCAGCTGGTGGGACTGAGACAGACACCAGGAACATCCTCTTTTCTTCCGCGTATACATCCACCATATGTATCACTCCATGTATCCCATCAGCAGCTATACTGCTGCGATACCTGCTGGAGAAGATGCACTGAATTTGAACCCCTGGTGAGACAGATCTCACTTTTAATTCCACTTCTTGTGCCTTAACACTTAACAATCCTCCTATGCACTGAGCAAAGGCGTCTTGGATAGTATCAATTGACTCGATATATGAGAAGGTCCCACCTGAACTATCTGCTATGGCGTGCAGAACAGTAGCATTGTGGTCATGACCAAGCCCAAATGTGTGTACAGGAACCGCACCAGTTTGTGAAACAGAAACCGATGTGTCATTATTACGGAGGTAAAGCGGGAGAGTTTTGAGGGCGTCGAGGGAATCTTTATATCTTCTGTCTTGACCGTCTGAAAGAAGAATAATACTTGAGACTGGGTTCATTTCACTCCTCTTCTCCAGGATCATCGCAGCTGTTTCCAGTCCTGCAATGATATTAGTGGAGTCATGGGTGTGTTTGAACCGGATAGTGTCAACTCGCCTTGCATCAGTCATCCTCAAAAGTTGGGTCAGTCGTCGTTTTGAGTTTGCAAATGTGATGATAGACAGCCGGTCTGAAGGGCCAAGGTTGTCGACAACAAACTCTATTGCCTGCTTGGCGAGCCTGAACTTTTCACCACCCATACTGTCACTCACATCTAGAATTGCAATGAGATCGAGTGGGGCATGGTCAATCTGCCTATCCGGGGATAAGCAAGGGGCCTGAAGGCCAATGAGGACACCAAATCTGGAGGATTGTTCGGAGTTGCTTAGTGCAGGGTATTGAGGTAAGCCTGTTACTATCATGTTAGCATTGCGAGGGTGTGATGGGGTTGGGTACCTCGGGGGTGGTGGCAGGGACAGGGAGGGGTTTATCGTCGGTGAAGGAAGTACGAGTTGAAATTGATTGTATGAAGAGGTGTGTCCACGTAGCGCGACAAGTAGGGCAAAAGTGACAGCCATGCTTAACCCTACAAGCAATGCAGCTGAAATGGAAGATGTGAGAGCACTCTGCTGTAAACAATGCCTTGCCTTGTCCTACAACCATCTTTCCAAGGCATATGTCACATACTTCCTATGACATCACAACAAAAACATTATAAAATCAATGATTTCTATGTATATTTACTTCACCAAAGATCAATAAAGAAGGAACCTGAAAAATACAGGGGAAGATATATATAACAGCATGAATCAACAATCAAGTAATCTAACAGCTTAACTATGTTTGGTATAATTAAAGGTGATAAGTATGTAATACATGAAAATCATATATATTTCTCGTAATTTATAGCTAGTTATACATTTAGTAACTAGGGAAGAAACCCAATAAAAAGTTAAATTCATGCTAACATAGGAATGGATTGATTATAAAATTTGATTATAGAAGTTGTAACGCATACATCAAACGAATAATATGATTAAATTTCAATGATTTTGCACATGTTTAATTTTTGAATAATTTTGATTAATCAATCAATTTAATTATTTGAATCAACAAAACAAATTGCTCTTGGAGCAATTTGAAATATCAAGTTTATCTCCTTGATTTACAATTTTACATATCAATTGATAACTCGATCTACATCAAAACAAAATAAATACGTACATTAATATGAATGAAAGTATGATAAATAAGGAGTGAGTAATTTAGTTTACCTTGGTTTTGGTCTCCATTTTTTCAAAGCACTCTGATTTATTTTCCTCTCTAACTGAGAAAATATTATAAATGGGCTAACTCTCTCACTTTCTTTGAGATAGTAGAGAAAGATGTGACTTGGTGTGTTAGAACTCTTAGAAAGCTACTACTAGCTTGGTGTTTATATACCTGTCCAAATGCCTTAAGGGTTAATGTTTTGGAATTTGTGAAACTTGATTAGTGTTGTTAATGTTTCATTGACTTAATATATTCACTTTTATATTTCAAAAATTGACATTTAGAGCTACACATATAAATTTATTTTGTTTAATTAAATTATGAGTCAAATGTCGGTCAGATATAGATTACAGTATGTAAAACCCTTGAAAATTCTAGCACGAAATCCATATTGATTATAATCTCTCATTTCCAAGTTTTAAAAAGTAAATCAATAATGATTTTGTCTTTTCACGTGAGTAAATCCAGAATGATTTTGTATTTTCATACGTTGCCAGCACAACTTTTAGGATTTTATCTAAAAGTCATCTAAAATGTTCATAAATAACTGATTTATATATATAACAAGAAATTAATTAGTATATGAGTTACAAGATTTTTTTTTATTTTTAAAAATGATTATATTGATGCCAATATGTTATTTCACTCATTTGCTTAAGTTCATCTCTATTCACCAATAATGCCATTAGGTGAAGTTAACCACAACTCATCTAAACCTAGTCAACCAAAAACAATCGGTCTACAAAGACAAACCTTCTTGAGCTTGACCGGTCAATTGACTCAATTCAGTCAATATCGACTAAATTCTTACAGACTTGATCAAATTCTCAGGTAATTTATCTCAATTTACGTTTTTCCAATTGAACACCATTTTATAACCCTAATTTTTGTTGCTTTGATTTGGCAATTTCATCTTCTTTGAAGTCCGTTTTTCAATTAAATTCTACCAAGAATTTGTGTTCTGGGTCGTAATTTTTAATTCTACCAAGAAAGGAGACTTTTTGTGTAATTCATGTTCATTTTCCTGCCGAAATGATTCTTAAGTAAAATTAAATTTGTTCCCTTTAATTCTGTACTTTGTTGGCGATTTTTGCAATTGCAATGACTAATCTTAAACTTGATGACGAAAAACTTATTCCTAACCGAGCTCTACGATCTGCAATTCAGGATTGGCTTCAGCAGCACCAACAGTTATTCATCGGACCTACCTTAGCTTGCCATTTCTCCTTTACTAAAAACAGGCATTGTTTGAATTATGTACATCATGGATGTGATTTGAGGGTTCTTAAGTAGAGATGTTTTTTTTTATCATTATATTGTGTAGCAATCAAAGGCATATCTTTGCTTGCAGGGTGTAGCAATCATGTGTATGATGACTTGTTCAACTTTGTGAAAAAAAATAAATTCAGTTTGCTCATAATAATAATCTCCCTGAACTTGGATTGGGTATATGGAAGAATCTAATAGCTCATAAATTAATATGATCAGATTTAGTTTGTAAAACCAATTTTGATCCATAAAACAATTTCAGGTCGTTAGAAATCAAGTGAAGAAAACGAGAATTTTATTTTTCAAGTTTCTTTCACAATTCGGGTTTCATGTATTAACTTGCTTACCGTAGTTATTAGTGCCGGATCCATATATTAATTTCACCGTTTCACATATGAAGTAGAGTATGCAGCTGGTGATTGTGTTTTTGGGTGTAGTGATGGCGGCTGGTTAGTGAGTTAGTCCATATAGTCCAGTCTATAATCTATATGCATCATATCTCTGTAATATAAATTACATTTGTCATTTTTACATGAGATTTGATGACTGCTTCTGTCAACGGAGTCACTATCCACTAAATGCATTAGACTAGATCAATGTAGTCCAGTTTATTGTTGAAGTAGTACTAGTATTCGTTGTAATAATCTCAACTGATATTTTAATACTATAATTAAATTCTATGACTTTGGCAACTTAATTGCTCATCTATTAAGTTTGTTTCAGTTGAATTTTACTAATTTCTTGTCTTCTAATTATGGATAATCAAAACAAGCTATATGTGGCAGTTGGGAAAGAAGAGGGTGAGGATAGAAAATCAGTTCTAAACTGGGCTTTAAAGTTTTGGAATGGGGAGACCATTTGCGTTTTTCATGTTCATGTGCCTACCCAAAAGACTCGCCAACAAACAAGTAATTATCAAATCATTCATTTGTAATTTCCAACTTTTCGATTTGGTGTTTCTTTTTTTCAATTATTTGCTTGGATTTTCATTTTTCTTGATGATCCAATCTGAATGTAGGATACGGTTTTCGATCTCCTTTAAAGACAGTCAGAGAAGTGGAGGTCAATCAAGAGTTGGAAAGACTAAAGGTCAAAGAAATGTTGGATGATTCTCTTAATATGTTTGCGCTTAAGAAGGTATGATCTTTGTATACCCAAGTTTATCTCTCTGATCATAACAGCACCTGGTAGAAGTTGAACAGTCGTAGTCTCGTAGATGTATAACACTAGAATAAAGAATGAGCTAAATAATACAAGTATGAGATTTCTGTTATCCTTTTGGCAGGTTCCGGCTGAAAAAATAGTTATTGAGAAGGAGTCTGTAACTGATGGGATTTTGGAACTCATATCTCAATTAGGGATACAGAAACTGGTTATGGGTGCAGGAGCCAACAGCAGATTTTTGAGGTTCTGACACAAATTTTGCTAAGCACTTCCACATTTTGTACTCTGTTTTGATATCTATAATTTACAGGAATGGATTATATTATAACAACTTATGATATTATTGGCCAAATTCGAGGCATTATATCGAGAAAAGACAAATATTATGTTAAACATATTTTTACACAAACGCAACTCAATCTATAGACTAAAATGTCATGTTTTGTTGCCGTGATATTGCAGGATAAAACCAAAACCCACCTCAGAAAAGTCTAATGAAGTCCTTAATAAGGCTCCTGATTTCTGTCACATCTGGTTTGTATACAAAAGTCGTCTAATATATACGAGGTATATTTTACAACTTGGAAAATAAATTTACAATGTGTTCATAGTCTTACAGATTCAGTGTTACTTGAAATTGATGATTTTGTGTGTACTAGCTTTAAATCTTTTCAATTGTTTTGTTTGTATGGTGTCATAATTACTGTACAAGGTGAGTATTGAGAATTTTGCAGAAAGGTTTAGGATAGTTTGTTTGTGTATATAAAAAATAAGCCTAACATTGTATTCTCTCGAACTGCAATCAGTTGTCACATTATTTGAACCTGTCAGAATTAGGGATATATGTGACATGATTAACAAAGTTTAGAGCAACAACATGCCTTTTCCTCTTCTTAATGAGATCAATATTAGTGATTGCAAGATACTGATTTCAACACGTGGATACAGGGAAGCCATGAGGCAACTGAATCAGCATCTGGAAGAAAATCAGTTGAACAGACTGAGTTATTTAGAACAATATATCGATTTACCATCAGCTGAATCATCACCGTTGTCTCAAAACATGTACATGATTCGTCACCTGCTACTGTACTGGTAGGCATTTAGCCCCTGTTTCTATTACTAAAGATAGTCATCAACGGCCGAGGACTTAAAATTTTAGTGGGTAAAGGGATAAAGGATTCAAATATTTTGTGTGGAAAGTTAAAAGTTGATCTTTCTTAAGGATTTTTCAACAATAATCCTAAATTAACTTAAGTATTACGTATTTATTTCTGCTTGAAATTCTATTAAACCTCCTGAATCTTTGCTTTTCAGCAGCAAAATATCATAGACAATGATTCATATGATCAACTTCAGCAACCCTTAGCACAAGCTGAAAAAGTAAGACAAGAAGAAGCTTGTGAAGATTCGGAGAGACGGCAGAAAGCTGAGAGCGAGGCCATGAAGGCAATTCACAAGGTAAGTTTCAAACATATTCTATTCCATTGAAACAATGAATAACTATTTTGTTGGTTTGAATACCAGAGATTCTACCAAGTTCTGTTTTGTTTTAGTTTATCATGGGAGATCAAAATTGAAAACTCAGTAGATTCTCTCAAAGCTAGTATTTTATACAGTCAGAGACACTAACAACAGCCAAGATTATGTCATTATGATTTGTCTGAATTTGTGGGTGTCATCCTTGAAGAAATTCCCTTTATTTTAGAGGCATTGAGCATGAAAATGACCCTATCACATTCACATAATATGTCAATCAAACAGCTTACTTTGTTTGTAAAGCAGTTTGGTGAAGACTAAGTAGATTTTTTTTTTTCTTTTTTTCTTTCTTTCACTGCATTGAAGAATTTTTATTTTTATTTTTATTTATCGACTTACATGTATGCAGTTGAAAGCTTCTGATGAAAAGCTAAATAAGATGAAGGGGAAAATAAACGATCTACAGCTCAAGATACATAAAGGTTTAAAGGTGCTTTACCAAGCAGCAGCAGATGGTGAGTTCTTATCACTTGAAATTGAGGATGAGGAAGAAGAAGAAGAGAAAATGTTCTTCGCGGAAATTTTGCAGAAGAAAAAGAAGTTATGTGATAAAGTGCTAATGGATTATGATGATACTCTTGATGTATACCTATCTGCGGATGATGATTCTGCTGAAGTAGTTCAAGTGTTGGAGGAACAAGTTTCTCAGGAGCCATCTAGTTCAAATGTTCCTATGTTTTCCTGTGAATCCTCCCAGTTAGATATCAGAGAAGCTACTATGTTCTTTGATCCATCATTGATAATTCATGAAGGAGACAATGGCATTGTATACAAAGGTTGCCTGCATAACACTGAAGTCGCGATAAAGATACTTAAACCTGATAGCGTGCAGGGTAATGCAGAGTTCAAACATGAGGTGAGAAATTTAACTATTTATTTGTAATTGTGCATTTTTAACGAAAGATATTTTGTTCTGATGATCATTAACAGTAAAATCATTTTTTTTTGGAGAGTTCGGACTATTAAAGAATTTTTGGAGAAACTACTTTGATTGAATGAAACTATTATTGCATGTATCATGTATGTAGCGAATAGATCACAAGCATAGTAATATTAGTAAATTACTTATGAACTGTTGCTTATCTCGTTTGCATAATTTGTACTTTGCTTGTAGGTTGATGTATTAAGCAAGTTGCGCCATCCAAACCTGGTGAGTCTCATTGGTGCATGCCATGACTCCTTGGCTCTCATCTATCAGTATCTTCCCAATGGAAATCTTGAAGACCGACTGAATTGCAAAGACAGCACTCCGCCGTTACCATGGCAAACAAGAATTCGGATAGCCATTGAATTGTGCTCAGTCCTTGACTTCCTGCATTCAATTCAACCTTGCAGCATTATACACAGTGATTTAAAACCAAAAAATATACTTCTTGATGCCAATTTCAGCTGCAAGCTCAGTGGGTTCAGTTTCTGCCATATTATCTCTAACAACAAGCAGACTCTCACAACTGATGAATTGATGGGAACTTCTTACATAGACCCTGAGTCTCTAGATGATGGACTTCTTTCCCTTAAATCTGATGTATATTGTTTCGGAATTATATTGCTGCGCTTATTAACTGGAAGACCTGCCCTGAATATAGTGAAAGAGGTTCAACATGCTCTGGAGAATGATTATCTCCATAGTATTTTAGATCCTGCTGCTGGTGACTGGCCGGTTGTACGAGCACAACAACTTGCTCATATGGCTTTGAAAAGCTGTGACATAAAAGCAAAAGACCATCCAAACCTTGGTTCGGAGATTTGGAGAGTGCTTAAACCAGTGATAACTTCAACTGAGAGCTTTTCTAGTCCTATGCAGCCTGTCAGTGGAGACCAAATACCATCCTATTTCATTTGTCCCATTTTTCAGGTTTGTAATTTTCGTAGCTTCAAGAAATATCTGCAGCTTAAGTCTACCCTTTAAATTTTATCCAACTTGCTTTGACACATTTGTCAGGTATCATACATCTTACTTTGACTGATCTTAACTTGAACATGTAGGATATAATGCGGGATCCACATTTTGCTGCTGATGGATTTACATATGAAGCAGATGCTGTTAGAGGGTGGTTTGAGAGTGGTCGTAATACTTCACCAATGACTAATTTAAGACTCGATAACCATAATCTTACTCCTAACCGTGCTCTGCGATCTGCAATTCAGGAGTGGCTGCTACAGCACCATCTTGTTTAGGTTCTCTCATTCATGTCTACCCAACATAGTTTGTTTATGATGTTTTGTACAGTATTGACGGGTTATATGTGCATTCTTTTTTAGGAAATTGTTCACTACATTGTATAGTAATTGAAGGCATATATATTTTTAAGGCAAGTAAAAGAAATATATATTGTATAGTAATTGAAGGCATATATTTTTTTAGGAAATCCTACCTAATGTATAGTAATTGGTGGCTTATTTGCTTCCTGTAACAATTCATTTGTATTAATGATTTGTAACACTGTTGGTAGGGATGACAATCTAGGCCGAATCCGCCCCTATTCTGATCCAATCCGAAGAAAAAAAACCCGAACCGAATCCGAATCCGAAAAATAATAATTCGAATCCAACTTCATTTAAAAAATCCGACTCCGAGTCAGAGGAGGGTGGGAGTTGGAGTTTACTTAAAATTCGACTTATCCGATCCGACTCTGACTTTTCTATGTACTTTTATATATATATATATATATATATATATATATATATATATATATATATATATATATATATATATATATATATTATTCAACTCATGAATTTATAGATCTTTGAAGTTGAAAGAAGTTGATTATATATGGGTTGCTGTTGATAATTGGGTCAAAATTAAATTAGATTGTTCTCATATAATTCCCTCTATGTCCCAAGACTCCCAACTCCCATATTCCCTGTCCGTTTTTTCTTTCTTATATTTTATTATTTTTATTTTTTAATTCATAAGCTAATACTTATCTCAAGGGTGAGAAATATTAATGAGTAAATCTGTAGATATGACATATGTGTTCTTTTATGAATATCGTACAGAAGAAAAACAAGATTGAGAAATATTACGTAGTCATTTTCTCATTTAATGACCCCACGCTTAAAAGTTTTGATGATATTCTTCTATAATTTTGCTTAATTTTGTGTTTGAAATGTGATTAACGAATATTAGTCTTTTTCTAATTTAGTGTTAAACTCAAAACACGTTAACTAAAAAAAAACGTAGGATGTATATATAACTTATAATTAGTTTTTTTCTTGTTTATATATGATTATTACCGTACATTTGTCTCATGTACCTTCGTATTAATATACTCTCTCTGTATTTTAATAAATGAAACGTTTTTCTTGTGCACATATGTCAATGCAAAACTTTAAATGATAATATCATTAATTATCAATAAGTAAAAATTATTACAATTGAATATTAATAAATTACTTATTGAGACCATTCTAACAAGCTATTGCAAGACTTATGTTAAATTCTTATTTATAAAATCACAACTACTAGTCAAAGTAATTAAATGAATAATGATAAAAGTAAAAAAAATGTTTCACTTATTTAAATTTTAGTCAGAGTATACATTTAATATAACATATACTGATACATAAAATCCAAAATTGTTTACTAACCTTTATAACAACACATACATGCATGTATGGTTCGAATGTAACCACTAATGAATGAATACTAACATATAATAGTTGAAAAAATATGTGAAATTAAATCATAAATAAATATATAAACAAAAGTAACGATAACAATATTAGTTTGGGAGTAGATGATATGATAAACAAGAAAGAGAGATAAAGTACTTCCCTCGTTTCACAATTATTTTTCAATTTATATTTATCGATGTAAATATCTTTAATTTTACATTAACAAAAAAATAAAAATTGGATATAAATGATGTACTCATTGGTACGAATTAAAATACACCTAAAATGCATGACTATGTTTTTCTTGTACATAGAAAAGTTATAAAGTTTCCCTCTCATTTTTTATACTCACAAGATTTCGAATGAAAATATTATTGTGAAATGAAGGGATTGAGGGAGTATAAAATGACTCATCATAGTCAATGGAAAACCAATCTTGTTTGATTTGTGACAATGAACTGAACGCTTTTTTTAAAAATACCAAAATTTCTTCCAAAAATAATATCAAATATTCATTTTGTACGTAATAGTTAGAGATATTAATTGTCAAATGTAAATTGACAAATGTAAACAATGCAAAGTAACACAGGAAGATGGTTACAAAAAAGTTAACATAGAAAAGAAATGGATGCAATAATTTTTGTAAAACGGGTACTTAGGCCCTATTCTCTCTTTACTTTATTTTTGCTATATTGAAATTATATTTGGTGAATTAAAATAATTTTTTCTAAGTAAAACTTAATTTTACTAATTCTCTATTATATTTGTTATACTCTTTTTGTTCTCGAAAGTTCAACTCACTTTGCATTTGCACGGTTCCCAATAATCATCTTTGACCGTGAATATACTCCCTCCGATTTTATTTAATTGCAACTTTTGCTATTTTAGTCCGATCAAAATTAAATGCAACTTTCTATTTTATTTTTATTTTGGGTAAACAAAAACCTTGAAAATTACTACTTTACCACTACTTTACCAAGTGTGGGCCAAACTTTCTCTCTCTACACACTACTTTAAAGTATTTTACCCACTACTTTACCAAGTGGTGGACAAAACTTTCTCTCTCTACACACTACTTTAAAGTATTTTACCCACTACTTTACCACTATTTTACCAAGTGGTGGGCCAAACTTTCTCTCTCTACACACTTTAATCACCTTTAATTAACCCCACTACTATATACCCCTTAACTTTTGCCTCGTGAACCGCAATACACACCAAAGTTGCAATTAAAAAAAATCGGAGGGAGTATATCTTTGGCTATGTATGAGTAAAGTTATAAAAATTTAATGTTTGGAAAATTTGTAATAAGGTGAATCTAAAAGATCTCACATGTTAATTTATTTCTACTGTATAAATCATAAATTGTGGTCATCAAACTTATTTTATTTTGACCACATGAGTAGTAAGTGAGTCGAACATTTAGCAATGGAGGTAATATAGTTTATTGATATTTACTAATCAATTAACTATTACTAATACAAAACGTTGCTGACGTCATCACTGTCCACATGTTACTCTCATAATAAAAATTTCTCGCCTAAATGCAAGGATGATGTCATCTTTCTTTTTTTTTTTTTTTTTGTGGAGTTATCACATTTAATAATTTTGAAATTTGAATATTAGAAGCTTCTACATTACAACTACAACCTATCAATTTATCCTTAAAAAATGAAATAATTTTAAGTAGCACACTAATAAATAGATTCCTACATTGAAATATGTATCACGCGACATTGAAATATGTATCACGCGATATTGTACAGGTATTATATCATAATTTTGATGAAAATAAAATTTTATCATAATTTTGATGAAAATAAAATTTTAAAAGTACAGATATATCTGTACAAGGTTCATAATTCTTATTTATATTTATCCATTTTTTAAAAAATGTACAAATTAAAAAAATAGATTTTATATAAACCGCGCATCGCATGGGTTCTAACCTAGTTTAACCTATAGCTAAATTGTTAGTACGGAGTATTAGTTTTATTAGGTACGTTTGTTGGTTGTATTTATCGAGTTTAGTATAGTCAATTAATAAAGATTGTGGCTTATTGGCTTCTTAAGAATCTGAGTGTTTGAGTGTATCTAATTTATTACAATATCAATTGAACTATCTTTAATGTTACCCCATTAGGATTTTACAATTTGTTCAATTTTGACTTGCATATATAACATATACTTCGTATTAAATAATTATAATAATGATTTGCTTAATTATTGTATGAATAATTATTTTGGATTTTAGGGTTAAACTTTAACATAAAATAATCTGTGTTCGGTGGTTTATGTAAGCTTTTTTCACCATGGAATGTTCGTCAATCATCGAAATTGAAAATCCGTTAGCGTAGGGCCGGGTAATGAAGAAAAATTATGTCAAACCTCAGGATACCAAAGTGGAATATATTCTAATCCGTATTTGATACGGCAATGAAATCATCAAATCAAGTATTCAAGTATTGTATAAATGAATTGCAGTTTCCACATCTTTTGATTTTAACAAATGCATCCTATAATCTATAGATAAAATCTATAAGGCATCCCCAAATTACAGCATTTTATATATCACCATTTGGACGTTTTACTATTCACACTTTTTTTTTTTTTGACAATCTTTCATGTTTTATACGTTAGAAAAAATATAGTCATGTAAAAATTGATTAAATTCATCTTAATTTTTGTTTTTCTAATTCAAATTTTTATAATCTCTTACTAAAAGCAAATCATAGCTATTAATGAACAACATTTTGTAAATAATGTAATTAAAAAATATGTAGGAATTAGATTGTACATGAACTAAGAAATCCATTCTGTGAAATAAAGTTGATATTGTTAATACAAGTACTGACAACATAATCAGAAGGCTAAAAAAATACGGAGACTAATTGCCATTGCATAAACTCAAAAATGTAATAGCTCCTTCGCATTAATTTGTGGTAAGTCAATACTTTACATCGGGAAAAATAACAAGATATTCGGGGTCACTGCAGTACTACAACTTACTATTTACAGAATGTTTGGTGTATGAAAACCTAGTATAGGGGGCTGCGCAGATCCCAAGGTAAATTCAAAGGTCAGCTCGAAAACCTAGCTTCAAAGGTGAGCTCGAAAACCTAGCTTCAAAGGTGAGCTCGAAAACCTAGCTTCCAATCAGGCATAAGATAAGGCTCAACAAATGCAGCACAATAGCCACTACACCAAAACAGGCAGAAGATATTCATCAATTCTGCCACAGACCGACAGCTCCTCAAAACCCGCTTCAGGAGCGGTAATAGTATTACAACATTACCCCACAGAAATTGTATAACATCATCCTTACGGCCCTCCTTGGCCGGACTTATTGCCACGTCGTCGTTTTGATGAGTGTTTCTTTGCTTGCACTTGCACAGGCTGAGATGAAGATTCATGGTATTTAGTACTATAGCTGAATAGAGATATGAGGAAACTTTTTGCAGCAGGATTTGCCTTATTCTGCTCTGCAGATGAATTACCAATTCCAGTATTATGTACCATTGAAGTCAAAGTGTCCACAGATTCCTTGAGGATTGAAACTCCCGTCATCCCATCATATGCAAGAATACAAGCAACTGCATAAATGGATGTTCCCAGAGCTGGCGGAAGAACCTTTTTTGGATATGTTACCTGAAGCATATGTGAGGTGGTCAATAAAATTTCACAAGATATAAATGAGGATGCAATCGAAAAGTAATACAACTTACTTTGAAAAGGATAGCCGCAGACAACCGCTCTCTCAAACAGTAAATCTGAGCAACTTCAAGGGCTGTTGATACGAAGGGCAGCCAGCGATCAACAATTAATGTAACAGCATTTTCAGGTGATGACATGACCTTGTCTTCTGGTTTTTCATTTTTCTTTTCAAGGCATTCCATCTCACCTTCATCACTATCTTCATCACCAGCAGCATCACTTCCACTATCATCATCACCAGTGTCCCTTGCAGGTGCCACAACAATTTCAGTTGCAAGTAATAATAAAGGAATTGGACTGATAATAGTAGTGTTCCTTGTGTGCAAAGACCCATCTACTCTAGTTACCTCATCATATACGAGTAGAGGTAGCTCATCAGTATTCTTCATATATAACTTTGAGTTCATTGATTGTGGGTGTAATAGAACTCTATCATAACCACTATTAGCAGTCTCCACAGTCAGCCTTTTACCCCTCCTAACAGGTGGATGCAACCTTCCCACCATTGGGTACATGCCAGCCACAATAACTGCACGAATTATGCCCGGCTCCCTGGCATTCATACTACAGCTTGATATGTCATCTGGTATACACCCAGCCCTGGTTAACTCATTTGCAAGTTGATTACGCATACCAGACAGCATATGCATAATGCTCGAGGACACAAAATATTCAGAACAAAACCGTGATTCTTGACCCATTTTCCTCGCATTCCTCCAGCAGTCAAATGCTGCAACAATCGCCAATTGATCACTATTTCCTCCATACAATGACGCAAGCTCTGCTTTTGCTGCAACTGCTCTTTTCTTTTCATTGGGTAACATAGGTAAAGTGAAGGGGTCTCTATAATCAGCTGCACAAGCAAGCGTCAAGGCAGGATCCAGGCAATTCAACAATATCGCAAAGAATAGCATCTTGCTGGTTAATGGATGCACAGGCAACGAACCCAGTTTCCTTCCTAATTCTGTCAATCCCTCATCATTTGACAACGCGCCAATTTCTTGTAGAACAGTAATAGCATTTTTTATTGTCTCAGATACTGGAGGATCTAGTGTTTTCTTCAAAAAATCCTCTACTTTGCAATTCGGATCAAGCAACTTGACCTGTTACAAATATCACATGATAGGGTTCACTCTACTACTTTTACAATAATACATAATGTGACCAAAATGCTAAAATGTCTAGAATTAACAGTCGAAAGTAAACAAAATATAGTAGGTAACACAAGTTAACAACCCCCACACCCCCCTCCTCCCCCCCCCCCCCACACACACACATATTAAAAAACGCAAACTTGAATACTTTAACAGCTTAACTGCTCTCTTATCAGCAAGCTAGGACTCCATATAATTCAAAAGAGTCTCTTAAAAATCATACACATTATCCAAAGAAAGATGTACCTGCAAACATAGTTCCTCTATTGGCATTCTCCTTATTTCAGGCACCTGGAAATCCAGAAAGGAGACTGCTCGTAGTTTTGAATAGAGATGATAACAGACGCCAGGCTGGCAACGGCCTGCACGCCCCTCTCGTTGTTTTGCACTTGCCTTTGAAGTCCAAGAAGATTGCAGGGTTGACACATTAATATATGGATCATAACTTTTCTCCTTCATTCGACCACTATCAAGGACGTAGACAACATCATCAATGGTGATGGCAGTCTCGGCTATATTAGTCGAAAGGATAATTTTACGACAACCTACAGGTGGCCGATTAAAAACTTTCTTTTGCTCAGCTGATGGAACCATAGAGTGAAGAGAGAAAATTGCAAACTTATGGGGGTCCTTGAAAAATGGATTAGCCAATAAAGTCTCCCGAGTCCTATTTATATCTTCCCATCCTGGAAGAAAAACAAGAATAGCTCCATCCTCTGACTCCATGCATATCTTCCTCAACAACTTCTCAATTAAGACAACATCAATAAAATCAGGATTAGTAGTTGACATGTATTTTTCAAGCAACTGCTGTTCTTCCACTGAGCTTGAAGAGCTATCAACCATGTGTTTCATTATGATTTCTACAGCTTCAGATTGATCTTCACGCTTAGCCCAATCTAAAGCAGTGCTCCCATCACGGGCCTGCAGATGGCAATCTGCACCTAAGGAAAGAAGTGTACAAAGATCACCAACTCTTCCCTTACCAGCAAATACCATTAACGGGGACACTCCAGTTAAATAATGCTGGTAATTCAGAACTTTGGATGTTCCATCTGAAGAAATCAATTCTAGGAGAGTATCAAATTCTTCATTTGAACTACTCATCTCAATCGCCTCATCTAGTGCCAAACGAGATTGCTCACTCAAGCTGCCCTCTTCATTCACTTGACTAGACAAACTAGAGTTAAGAAGATGGTTCTTGTCTGGAGTTCTCAATATGGACAGAATTTCCTCCAAGTAAAAAGTTTTGACCTGAAAGAAGGATACACAGGGTGACAAGGGGTAAAAAAGGGCATTTAGAAGCAAAGAAGCAGCAATAGTACAGCATTAGTGAAAGAAAAAATAACATAGAAACAGTAGAAATATATATAAACAAACTCATACAGGATGAGTGAATCCGGGCACACGGATAACTGGACAGCCTCCAAAATAATGAGAAAACCTTTCAGCATCAAGTGTAGCACTCATAAGTACCTGAAAGTTTCAGATAAAGTATATGAACATAGAAATAAAAATTAAAAAAAAAAAGGAAAGAGAGAGATTAATATAGACTAGATACATCATCTAAAAAGTACTCACCATGCGTAGATGTGGATAGGTTGGAAGCAAGTCTCTGCATGCAAGGGCAAACATAGGCAGATTGATCAACCAAATTATGATGTACAAAGAAAAACGGTGCAATTAAACCAATGGTTAACAAACTCCCTAACTTAAATCCTTCAAAAAAATAATAATAAAAAAAATAATTATCCCCTAACTTGAATTGTTTTTAGATAGAGAGGAAAAGGATGAGGGGCCGTGGGGGCGTGGGATATGGATGCACACACTGGTTATTTACCTCCAGTTGTGAGTTATGATAGAACTAGAACAACTTCTCCACAACCAAAAAAAAAAAAGGTTGAAGATTGAAATTGCAGAATACCTGAGGATCGCAAGCATAAAGTCAGAGTATCGATCCCTTTCATGAATCTCATCCTGTGTGTGAAAACAAGCAGCAAGACAAGGAAAATATATTAAATGGGGAAAATCAGATTTAGTAGCCAAACTGAAATGCTGAAAAAGATCATCAGCTGAAAACATATAAGTAAATACTAAGAGTTGATTAGCTAACATCAAAACTAGCGCACTTAAGCAGTTGCATGATTCTTTAATATATCAGGTACAATTACACATGATTAGATATCCTGTATTTCTACAGTCTTATATCTAACCAGATAAGAGCAACAGAGAAATCAAATACAGGTGAACACAGCAGTAAAACTACTCAAAAGTGCACACTAGTATCAAGCTTAATAAAGTCGGAGAATCCTTTCATCCATTGATAGTGAAGGACATAGCTGGAAGAGTATCTATACTCCAAAACTAAACTCATCATGAATTAACCAGAACTTTAGTAGCAAGGAAGATAATCAGTTCAGTTAACACTTTCTGAAAGCAAGTTTAGTCCCCATTTTTCTAGTCAAGGGATTTAGTTTTTGTCCTCATGCATATTGATTTAATTGCTTGAATTGTGTTCTTGATCATAAGAGTTATAGTTTATAATATAACTTTTCCCATCCAGCTTGAAAGAGTAGTTAGGTTCTACCGTGGACTTCCCCTAATATTATCCCCAGCCCTAGTGGTTTAGCCCTTGCCCTAGGCTTTGGCTCTTATATTGCTTGTTTGCTTTTTAATTAAGCATAATTTAGTAGTTTAGCATCAATAAGTTCAATCCTTAATTGGGACAACGAATATAAGTCTCCCTAGTTTAGTAGTCTCATAAATGAAATGAGGTTCAATGGGCCAAACTAATGATATTTTGCAAAGTTATTTCTATTAGCATCTTCATGAGATTGAGAGTATTTGTTTAATAAATCATCAAGGCAAAGTGAAAATTTGAGGGAGACCAATAGAAAGACGGAGAGAGGAAAGGTAGATGGATTAAAAAACACCTTTGGTAGAACTTAGAAATAAATGGATTATATACTCTTCAGCTGGGTTTATTCTGAGTTGTTTTCACATAGTTTTAATTCTGTTTAGGAACCAGAAACGAATACGAATCAATTGTTAAACCACCTATTTCCACATCAGCATTTGTAGAAACTACATTTCAACACTCACCATACACAAACAGGTAAATTTCAAACAAAATGTTGAAGAAAGAATGGAGCTAAGGGCCATTTGCTGACTTAATTAACAGTGCCTCCAGAAGCAGAAGTCGGACTAAAGAAATAGAAATAAAACAGTGCTTTAACTATATTGTCATTTAGAATTACTTTAGTACAGAATCAGGGTTATGGCCCTTGTGTTAAAGTGCCTCAAGGCAGCCATCCTTTGAGCACACCTCAATGCCTTAGTCACAACTCAACTGCATATTTTTTAGCACTGCTTATAACATTATATGACTGGGGACCAACACAAGACAAATAACTTAGCTATCAGCATAACATTTACATTTACGACCTACACGATGGAAAACCCATGAAATTAAAACAAGTCAAGGAAATACTTCAAAGTTTGCCTGAATGGAAAAGAAAAAGAAAATGTTACCACAATAATGTGGGAGATCTGAGAAAGATCTACAGCTCCTGGTTGGGATCCATTAGAGCCACCAGCAACAAGCACCCTCAGCATGATTCCGTTTGTGCAAAATACAATAGATGAATTTCTTCCACCTTTGGTATCCATTCTTATCTACCAATGCAGATAAATGAGTAAGTTATATGCAGAAGCAAATTCTTATTACAGAATTTTCAAACGATATAGTCATCATAATAGATCTAACGTCCCCATCAAAGCCAAATTTTCCAACTAAGAATGTGTTCCGCACTCAATCAAACAGTATATTGATTCCTGCTACAATAAAATGATAATTAATCCCCATTAAACTAGCACAAAATCTGTTATCAGGCAAAGTCACTTCACTGTTTGACAAAATTATACTTCCTCTGTTTTATTTTAAATGCAATATTCTCATTACACGCTTGTCAATGTGTTATTTCAATCATTAATACTTTTTATTACTAAATATTTAAGAATTATAAAAAAAAATGATATTAATAAAGTATAAATCAACAAATCTAGTCAAAGTGGAGTATATGAATAGTGTAAAAGTCAAAGTGTTGCATCTAAAAGAAAACTGATGAAGAACATTACACACTGCATACATACAGATAACAAAAGGCTGCACACTACTTCAAAGAAAAAGGTTGACATGAATCCTTTCCACCATCAACTATGACATGACACCAAAATGACAATCTCTAACATAGTGATAAAGAAGCCACTCTAAGTTTCATAACATATACTTCGTCTGTTCTATATCAATTGCTAAACTTTTTAATATGGAAGTTTCACATAAATTGCTACATACAGATTTTCGGAAATGTGTTCCTCCATACATTAATGGTATTGCATTCAAAAAATTTATGAAACCATTCAACAACACAATCCCAGGGCTGAGGTTTCCCGTAACAGTTAAATGAGAATGCACAAGTAGAGAAACTAACAAGGATAGAAATGAGCAAACATAAGTAGTAAACTAGCATGAACATACAACATAATGCCATTATAAGGTAATGAACATTTTAAATGAAAAACTAAGCACGAAAATGAATATAATAAAACGATTCATTATGTTAGGTGCAGCATCTGGAAACATAATTCATCATTGGTATTCAATCGGTTCACTAATTGAATATTTATCATACAATCCTTATTATGCTAAATAAAACGATCATTATAATACAAATAATTAACCAATTTCCTACTTTATACACATGTAAAGAATATAGATGAATAATTGCAAAAGAATATTCAAAGGGGAAATATAGTGAGGGAGAGAGAGTTGTTTAAAATCACATGGGTTCTGCAATTTCAACTTTCAAACATTTGCCAAAACAATGTCCAGCCCAACCCCTTCCTCTACCATGTCCCTCTTTAACTTTTAGCCTCATCAAAAACAAAAAGGAAAAGACAACGAGTAGAAACAAAGTGCACTTATTTACAATATTGCCACTAGATTGACAAAATTTGTCAATCAAAAAGATTAACTTGGATTCTCTCATGACAAATTGCGAGTGCGTGAGAGGGATTCTATATTTCTATGTGACTTGCGTAGGAACGCTGTAATAATAGATTAGAACATAAGATGGCAACAAAACTAATATTCATGATATTGCAATTGTAACTACAACATATTATTTCTTAACTAAATTTCATTTCTTTTTTCACTAAAAGGTACATTATGCGAGGCACATATCAAACTTTTCTCTTTACAAGTGAACCTTAGATAAATGGAATAAAGGTCAATATAACCTTTTTTTCCTTGATGAATATATATATATATATATATATATATATATATATATAATATATATATAGATAGATAGATAGAAAGAGAGAGAGAGAGAGAGAGAGAGAGAGTATGTATAGCACAGCTTCTAAGATTTTACCTTGTATCCAACACTTTCTCCAATATTTTCTCCTCTTTCATGAGAAATTCTGTCCGCAACTAACAAAAATATGCGTGATAGCAAGCAAGGAAATCATAAGTCAAAATGTGCTAAAAAGATATTATCAGCCAAAGCTTTGTCAATCAACCAAAGAAAAAAAAAATACAAAAATAAAAGGGTAATCTGACCTGACATAGCCGAAATACGTCGTGGTTGTGTACAGATTATTTTACAAGCCTCACCCCTAGCCCACATGGAATCTAAAAGATATTGAGGAACCTGAGGTATAGAAACAGATGCCATAACCACCAAATATCAGCTTGAGAAAGAGGATCAATGTTGTATCAAGTTTTAGCATAACATCAGGAAGCAGACACAGCACATCAGTTAATGCAAGTATTGTCTGAAACACAACCAGTCAATACATTCGTCACCATAATTTATATTTTAAAGATGCAAGATAGATCTGGAACCCCAATAACAACTTCTAAGCCCATGACATCCCCATATTAGCTTCACAGTCCTAATTCAAATTCTTCACACTATACGATAGATAAGATTGAAAGGTCCACCAAGTACTTATCCAGCTGATCCACTATTCAGCTGCTAAACAGTGCTTGCATTTCAAAAGTATTTTCCTGTCCATCCAGAGAAACATTGCTAACATTTTAAAAATAGTAGCTTTCATCCCTAGTCTTCTAGCCTTATTGGGACTTAATTTATTACAAATTAAAAAAGGGAGAGAACTACAAGGTCTACCTAAAAATGCCTAAAATTAATGTAATGAGTAATATAATAACCTTTTAACACATGAGTGATAGATCCATGATAACTATAAGTATATTAATATTCCCTGCGTTTCATAATAATCGCAACACTAGGCATTGCACAACGTTTTAGAATATTTATAAAGTAGAGAATAAGGACCAAAGGGGGAATTTTATACTTCGTAATATAAAGTATAGTTAGTGAGGACATATTTAATTGTTAGTGGGTCCTTGCCAAATAAGAAATTGTTTGCAATTATTATGAAACGGGCGTTAAAAAAAGTGCTACGATTATTACGTAACGGATGGAGTATTGAATGATGGAGATAATGCAATTTGACTAAATAAGACTTGAGTAGTTCGCCTCCATTGTGTAGGCTAATAAAATTTAAAATAAGTGAATGGATATGAGAAAAAGGTGGATACAAAAAAAGAGATGTGAAAAAAGGTGTGTGGGTGTAAGAAAAAGGTATTACTCCGTATAAAGTACTTCCTCTGTTTCACATTATTTGAGACGTTTTGACTTTGGACCCTTTCGTAACTATTCACATAATTTATTTTGACTTCCTTTTGTATTTTATACTTGAGAAATAATATAGTCATGTCACATGTGAAATCTTATTAGATTCGTCTCAGTGTATATATTTCAAATATAAACTTTTTGTAATCATTCTTATTAATGATTGGAGACATTGAGTGGTGTTAAGATGTAAATATTGTGAATAAAAACAAGTTTGTCAAAAAGAGAATAAAACCGAAATAGTTGGCATCCACTTTTTAAAACTATAATAGCATTGTCCTCTAGTGGAGAAACTGATTACTTTCTCATTGAATTATGTGATAAGGTAAGTTTTTAGGGTACTATGTTCAAACTACATTCTAAATTTCTAAATCCTAAATTTTCTAATCAATCAATATACTGGCAAAGATTGTCATAAAAGTGGGTCATTGTAAAACCTTTAAGGATAATTTCAATTGTATTCAAAGTTATCTTAGGTAGGGTTGAAAGATGTACACAAATATATCTGAAAAACCTACTAGATATAGTGTAAATTTTCAATTGCATTCATTACATTAAGAAATAGTTTTTGCTACCTGGATTTGATAATCCCTTTTTTTACCATGGTTAGTTTGGTAGCAAAACACTAAGGGCTACCATGTAGAATGTAAAATTAAACTAGTGGTTTGTGTCTCAAGAGTAGTCGAGACGATCAATCTTCTCTTTTTGGGTGCATTATGCACTTCTTCCTATAAAGCTTCTATATTTCCATGCATTCTGCAAAGATCAGCTATATTTACATATACCTAAAGCATCTATCATATCTTATAAATTAATTAGCTTCCCTAAAAAGTAGAGTTAGTTGATCTGTTGATCAAGGACAAAATCACTGAACTAAAATCCCATCTATACACATCACATATTAGCCAAGGGAAGTAATAGTAATAAAGAAAAGGAAAACAAGCCTAGAGTTAAGTTACAAATTAGAAAAAGGAAAAGCACGTATTCCTCATTTCCTCTCAAGCATTTGATACACAATAACAAAATCTCTACAGCACAAATATGAAATTTGTAGATCAACAATAACTTGCGTTACTCTACTCCAACTCTTCATTTCACCACAAGTACCCATAGCAAATACTCAACACTCAGACATGGGTGGATATTAAGTACCCATAGCAAATACACAACACTCAGACATAGGTGGATATTAAGTACCCATAGCAAAATGTTAAGACATTTTATTTTATACAAAAATCATGCATAACATTCATCAACAGGCTGTGTGCCTGTGTCTGAAACATAGGCACATAGCCATGTCAAACACTACTAGCTGAGTCCAAGTAACATAAGTAATAACAGATTCGACATAGACTTAAATCAAGTGAGCTCTAAGTGTCAATTTGTGCAGACATCAACCTAGTAATGTAGAGGACATAACTGAATTTAGACAATTACAGTGAGAATAAGCAAAATTAGCTACCTGTGTAGTCTTCCCACAACCAGTCTCTCCAGATATGAGCACAACCTGCTCTAAGAAATTGACATTAGTAAGACTTCCAATCAATTTGCAAGCTGGAAGCTAGACATTTTAATGATAAACCAAGAACTGGCATAGCTGAAAAAGTAAAAATAATAAAACTATACTTCCTCCGTTCTTTTTTACTTGACCCGCTTTGACTTTTACACTACTCACTACCTCCCCTTTGACCGTCTTTTGTGAATAATAATGTAAGGAAAAACATATTCATATAGGGTATTTATAAATTCGTCTCAATAAGTACTATTATAATATATAACTTTTATAATTTTTACTTAAGAAGAATTAAAGTTATTGATCGTTAAAGTTTTGCATTGGCAAGCGTGATAAAAGAAACAGGTCAAGTAAAAAAGAACAGAGGAAGTAATAGAATATAAATTAAAGCAGTCATGCCAGAACATATTCCCAGAGATAAAGCCAGTGATCAGCAACATGACTGCAAACATGACTGCTAATAAGTAAAAATGATCAGCTTTCTGCAACCAAAATTACACAACATACTCATGGCACCCATGACTCGAGAATACAAAGTGTTAAGCCTAGAGATTACTTTTACAAGTTCAAATTTAATTTTCACCACAAGAACAGATTACATAATTAAAAACCACAAACACTAACTAACTACACTTTTGTCTTATCAGATATTCAAAAGGAAACTTTGATGCTCAGTCTCACACCCTCCCAAAAGAAATAGATTTTAGCATATAGGAAGCCATTCTCATTACAATGATATGAAAATGAATTTCTCAAATAAAGATCAGACTAATAATTAGCTACCGTTGTAATCAATTTTACCTCAACATGTTTCTTTGCTCAGCTAAAAAGATGACTAAGAACTATAACTTACTGTAATATTCTAACATCACACCACAACCAAAACAGCTACAACATATGCCTTTCAAACCTCATATCACGGACCTACAAATGATATGCCAAAATAAAGTGGACCACCCCAAATATATGAATAAATAAGAAAAAGTCTCTGCCAAAGGTTGTTCGCCAAACCACATCGTGAGAAGCCAAGAACAGATGATTACCCATGTCAGCTATCACCAGTAGAAAAACACAAGGAACCCAATAAGGAGACCGTCGGAGAAGGCCACTGAATATATAGGTTCCAAGAGGCATGAGATTCTGTAAAACTAGCTGCCTGCATCATTACTATCAGAATTCAAGGCCAATCACCCACTTGGAATATCAGCCTTCAAAGAACAAGTGGAACAAAGGAAAGGTGTGATGGATCCGGGTCAAGCACAACAGATTCGGGTCTACACTAGGAAGAGAGTCAGCAGAGAAAGGCAACGAAACAGGTCCAAAGGTGGAATCCTCGAAATAGGGAACCAAAAGCAGCAAGACACATTGGTCACAGATCTTGAGAAAGAAGCAGACAAAAGGCTTAAGAATGCCTTGTGAAGAGAAAGCCGAAAATGGAAAGCAGAGAAGGGAAGAATGGAAAGCAGAGAAGGGAAGAATGGAAAGCAAAGAAGAAGAATTGATCTTCTGACTTTCCTTGTTTAAAAGTAGAAGACAACCGTTATTAATTAGTAGCATGCATTGAGTAAGAGTTGTAATAATAAAGAAGGAGAGCACATTTTGTAAGGTATCCAGAAATTGAGTGTGAACTCTTGTGACTGTTGTGAGATCAGTAGCCTCAAGCTACCATGAGACTTAAAGCCTAAAGCTATACTTTATCTTCCTAAAATCTGTAATTTGAATTATCTCCAATTTATGCTCAAGCTTTTGCCTTAAATTAGTGTGAATTCGTTTAATTAAAATTGCGTGCAACCTGATCCATAACAAAAGGCTGAAAGTATGAGTCTTTTGTGATTGGAAATTGAAAGAATGACAACTGAATAAGCCTCATATATCAGCCAACAAAATCTTTCATCTTGGAGCTCCATCAAGAAAATAGACTCAGGGTAGCCTGGTGACAGGTGAGTTTCCCCAACTACCACACATGAAAATTCCTTCTACCATTTGAGTTGGACACACAATCTACACCCAATGTAAATAGAAGCATGATGAATAGAGAACTATAGAGCAATTAATTGAATGAAAAAGAAAATTCAGAAGAAACTTCTCCTGCCAAGAATCTTCCCAAAAGGTAACAAAGTTTCCCTAAACTACTCCGTACTTTATTGAATGTCTATTTTATCAGATAAAAAAAGGGGGACAATATGGGATGTCTTTAAAATTTATAATCACGCTAAAAAGAACATGTAATAGACTGTAAATGTTACTAAATTCCCCAGTACGAGGTTGGGTAGACGTATGCAATCCGCTACCTAGTATTGGTATATTATGCAAATATGTACCACATTCACGTATTAATTTGCCTTTTGTACAGCAACAAACCTGATGAGTTAAGATTGTTGACGTAATAACATCCTGGAAAGTTGCAATAGGAAGCTTAGACCTTTTCTTAGATATCTGCATTCATCAATCAACAAAACAATAAAATCACTTTTATGCAACCCACAAAGAGTTCAAACCTGTGAAGAATCAATATTATTTCATGAGTCTAAAAAACAAAAAGTAAGAACTCCAGTTTCAAGATGTAAGAACCTCTTGCAAGTGATGTTTTTGCTGTATCTTGCTCGTGAGCAGCTCCACCTGCTTTTCTATTTCATCCTTGGTCATTAAAGGCTTACAGAATATATTCTCTCTTTTACCCCGTGACCTAGGATTATTGTTATTATCAGTGGGCCCATTAGAATATTCTTTTCCAACTTCATCCTCACCAGGTGGATAACGAATAAAAAGGTCATTCAAAACCCTTTTAGATTCATCTGAGAATGTGATCACAGGATTTTCCCTTTGCTCTGAGCATTCTAACTTTGGCTTGCTTTTGAATACTGCAACACGCCGTTGTTTCCCTTTCCTGTGAAGAATCATACCCATATAAGAAAAGAGCAGTGGCAAAAGCCATATGTGCGAAGAATGGAGTGGCCATAAACAATGCATTTAAGAAAACATTCAGACTATCCTCATAGTAAAGAGCATTTTTCCTCTCAGATTTAACAAGTTCAGAGTTCAAAAAGAACTCACCCAGAACTTTTTGAAATCATGCCCATTTTTTTGGACTCTTGATGAACCACAGCACATTCATGGTTAGTCATGTTAGCTTCAAAAGTATATACTGCATAACGATAACAAAAAATTATCATTAGTCTATCAAATGCCTCAAGATATCATATCACAGGGAAAAGCAAGCGTATGGAGATTTTATGGTAAAAGCAAGATAAACTAAACTACAGTTTTCTTTGTAGTGAGTTAGTGACTACAAACCACAAGTTCAGTCAAGCTATCAGAGTGACAGTCACTCCTCAAAGAAGTTAAACAAAGCGAACATCCGCGATCATATTATGTACATGATGATCCACAACATTATTCACAATAATGACTAATGATAATTAGAGCTCAGCACCTGTCCAATATCGGACCAAAACCAGTAAGACTGAAATTTCCAATTCGGTGAGCCAAAAAACAGATCTGAATAATTTTGGTCCAGAGTCCAAACAAGTCCGGATTATTCTAATCTAGTCAATTATTTGACATGTTCATGATTAATTAACATTTGCAATTAAAACACTATTTTATTTGTAAATAATCCAGAAATATTAGTATAACATATATGCTAATGACAATACAAAATTACAAACGCCAATATTTATAATTGACACTACTACCTCCGTTTCACAATATATCCATTATTTTGACTTTTACACTATTCACTAATTAACTTTTACTATGTTTCTTACTTATATATAAAAATTTAATAATGACAAGTAAATCATTATTGGATTGGTTCCAATGTATATTTTCAAAATATACTAGTAATTTCTCTACGACTTTTTAATAATTGATATATATATATATATACAAAAGTTAAAGGTCAAATTTGTCTTTTGACAAATAAAAAAAATCAAAATATTGCATCTATTGTGAATCAAAGGTAGCATCTAAATTTCAAAACTTAAACTCTTTAAGGAATTGTAAAATACACAAGCTATTAACAAAATCCTTCATAAAAAAATTCACTTCCTCCACTCCAAATTAGTTGACACATAATCCTTTTTGGGAAGTTTTTTTAGTTGACACGTTTCTATTTTAGGTAGCTTAATAAAGTTTACTTCCTATTTTATTCCTTACCCGCTTTACCCCTCCTATATTATCACTCCTTCAGTCTCCCTCCATCTGTACGTTTTGGCTGCCTCTTCCTTGTTCCCCATGGTGATAGTGGTGGAGTGTGGTAGCCTGGTAGGTAAAGATAAAAGAGAAAGAAAAAAGATGGGGTTAGTAATGGCAGGGATAGTTATACTACCTTTTTTTTTTTTCCTACCCACTTTCCTTTTTTTAACCCAATTATATTATTAATGTTTTTTTGTGTTCTACTCACTACTACTTTTGATCTAAGTAAGTACCTTAAATAATCTTCCCCCCTTTACCCCAAATATTATCCATTTTTTTCTTACACAAACCCAATTATTACTCCCTCTTTCTTACCTTACCCACCTTTCATAAATTTGCCCATTTTTTTCTAACTCTTTGTTTCACATTCAAATTGTCAACGTCAAGTATGTAGATGAGGTGTTTTTGCATCTTGTTTTAGAGAGAGGTTAATGACTTAACTTAATGCTAACTAGAAGAACAACAATTGACTAGATTACTCTTGGCATGAGTGAAATTAAATGGTAAGGAGTTCCCCATAAGTGAGTGTTGTATATACCTTGAGCTGATTTAACAAAGGATCAGGAATATTGACCAAAGTGTGAAGCTGTAGCATATCTCTAGCGAAGATGTGTATTGTGAAAAGGATGTGTAAAAACACCTTAAGAAATAATTTAAGATGCAGATAATCGGAGGAAAGTTGGAGTTTATAAATATCAGGAAGCTAAAATTTAGGATTATGCAGATCATAAATCGTCCAATATAGGCCAAAGATGACTTAGATGAAGAAAGTAAAGAATGATATTGTAGAAATTGGGCTTGCATGAGCATATAGCACTTAATAGAAGTGAAAGTAAAGCTGCGGTGGTGTTTGCTGTTTAAGTGTTTATTACACTTGAATAACTGATAACATTACTTTCAAGAGTGACATAACAGAGGTTCAAACTTCAAACCTCACGTCCCAAATCAACTCATATGTACTTCCACTCAGATTTTAAACAAGGGAAAGGAGCAAATAAGAAAAAGGCCGTTGATGTAACAAAAGTACAAAACCCTACAATCTAGTAGGGCAAACACAGAATAACAATTGTATAACCCACAAACTCCAAGGAAAGAAAAAACCAGGCTAGCTTTCTTTTTCCTATGTATAAGTTTCAAAGTCACCATAGCCTGGCACCCCCTCTAATTCAATTCCTGTATTGCAGAGGTAATAATAAAGCATCACTTTTTCCTTTCGAAAACAAATTCTGAACATCAGTGTCTCTCAAAATGTGTCGATAAACACTGTAAATTACCATAGTATCATTCATTGTACACACATACATTGTACATTTTCCCTACATAGTCCTCCAGATATATTCTTAATCAACATAACGACCAAAATCAAGCATGAAAATCGAAAAAGTTGCTTATTGAACCGCTAACGGAGTAATGAGCATACTTCTCAGTTCTCAATTTCATTTTCTCTTAGCTAACAACATTTCAATATGAACATGCTAATTAAACCGGTAATTACAACAAGCCCATTTCAACCACCGCCAAAGTAACATCTACATTTCAGCATCCATTTATAAAACCATAATATATAAAATAACATAATATACAACAGATATAATCAAGCAACTAATGAACATTAATGGGGTATAACAAAATAGATAAAATATGCCAAAATAAAAGGGACCTTGATCATGAGAAGAACGAAACTGTTCGAGAATATTGTGAATTTTAATGCGGACAATTTCATCGACGCCGGCAGTATGCTCCGGTGCGAATAATGAGCCGTACTTCTGCCTCTTTTTGGATGATTTCGTCATTTTTCTCTTTGAATCTTATGAGAGAGAAAATTGTGGATTATTTGACGGCGGTTGCAGTAGAATTGAGCAGCGTATGGACGGTGCAGGGGTGGCGGAGGTGGAGGAGGGAGTGGTGGCGCGCTCTTAAAACCGGGGTTGCTGAGGATGAACAAATACAATGCTCCCACCGGTTTTGGCTGTTGTCATTTGTAAACCCTAGCCCTTTTTTTCAGTTTACTCTCTCTTTTTTTTTAAAGGCTTTCATTATCTTTGTTTTGTTTTTTTCTTTTGTAGAATCTCTTATTTCTAAAGAAAACGGTTAGTGCATTAATTCACAGAAAGAGTGTATAAAAGTACATACGGGAAGACCTCATCAAGCACAAGGTAATCCCAATATTGTTCATTACCAAACGGCACTAACCTAACAAGATGGTGGGCGATAAAATTCCCATCACGCTTGATATGAGACAATATAATAGAAGAAAAACAAGAGCTAAAAGAAACAATATCCTCTAATATGCTATCGACAGCAGAGAACAAAAAGTCATTTTTTTTAGCTTGGAAACGAGTGGCATGGAATCTAGAGGTTAAGCAATTGAGTCATGTACTCCATAGTATATTCTCTTCAAGTCTTGATATACAAAGTATCTTCTAACAAATTATATGATTGAGGAGTTTTGTCATCAATGATGAAAGGCACGAGAGCGAATTCAGACTGGATTGTTAATAAGAGAAGAAGGTGTGATCGATAATAATTAGCTTAGACTAATTGAAAAGTAGATGATTTATAAATTTTAAACTTTATTTGGCGGGCACTTGGCCTTTTATGAGGGGAGGGCAAGGGGAAGTAGGCTTTAGTCTCAAAATCGACATTGAAAATACTACATATATAATTGGTTGGGTTGAGAAATTTAAGTTGTTTAATTTATAGGTTAACGTGTTTTCAATTAAGTGGATCTATTTAGGGTTGAACCATTTGCTTCACATACAATAAATTCACTTAACTTGTTTAACTAATCAAGTTGAGCTTTCAAATCCAAGTTATGTAATGTTATTCATTTGATCAGTTGATATTTGTATTAAAATTGTTTGGGAAATCCATTGTTAAAAACTTATAATTGTATGAGGCATATCCATGAATCAAAAGTACCAATTAGTTATGTACATCTAATATGTTTTTTTTTTATATTTTTTTTTTTACTTCTAGTTGCTTTGAACTTTTGAATGATTGGTTGTGGTTTCCTATCCAAATGCATATGTGAAATATATTTGAAGTATAAGTTATGCAATAATGAAGATGTTAATCCTCTTAAAGCCAACTTGACTTTGTTGAGACAAGTTTGCAAGTTAGTACTAGTGGGGATATCACCAAACATCATCAGCAACCGTAAGAGGAAGAATTTTGTTTTCCTTGGTGTTGACTAGGGTGAGCAAAAATTCCGGGTACCCGGAATTGGAACCGGAACTGGTTAGGAACCGGCAGGTTCGGAACCGAGATTGGACCCGGTGGTTCCAATTTCGGGTAATAAATTAAGGACCCGGTTATAACCAATTCCAATTCCAATTCTCAACTTTTTGGACCCGGAACCGGTTGGGTACCCGGTTACCCAATATATCCTAAATTAAATAAACTTTAAATAATAAAAATATGTTAAATGTATCTAATTTGTACAATAAAAAAAGTATTATTAATACCTAACATGAATACAAATAGCTTAATGCATATATAAATATAAGTATTAAACACTAATAATGATAGTAACTAAAATAAGAATTATAATTTGTATTATATTTTAACAATTACATACATAAGTGGGTACCCGGAACCGGAACCGGTACCCAGTGGTTCCAATTCCAATTCCTAAAATTTAGGACCCGGTTTCACCAATTCCGGTTCCGAATTTTAGGACCCGGTTCTAACCAATTCCAAGTCCGGGTCCTAAAATTTTGACCGGGTACCTAGTTTGCTCACCCCTAGTGTTGACAGTGTCATAACTCGTATATAAGAGGTTTGTAGAAAATGATGTTGAATTTCAGAAGATCTCTCAAATCTGGTATGACGACAATGATGGCCGCGGTGGTATTTAATTGAAGATATTGAGGAACTTCGAGGCTTGTGAAACTAATCGACTGCTTCAAAGAAAATCATTTATATTCTTAGTCATTAGCGTTTATGTTACCGAATAGTAGGCCATAAACTGAGCGAACTACCAAACGATCGAGGCAAGTACAAAAGAGTTGCATTGTTCAAGTATAGAAGTCACGATGGTAATGACAATGAAACCATCTGAGTTGCTACGAGGTGGCTAGATGGATGATAACATTATAGGAATTAAAGGGTGATAGAGTGTCATTTATTAGTGTAGTGTTCTCCAAGTGATTTCCTTTCTTTTATACACAAGAATCCTAATTGTTAGACATTCCATACATTTGATTATGTGGATTGCTAAACATCGCTCGCAAATCTCCACATAAAGCCCACAAACTTATATTGAAGTTACAATATTGCCCTTGACCTTAAAAAAAAAAAACACAACCTCAATAAAAATCAAAGTACGGGGATGTCGAGGCTCGTGGCGGCAAGGTGGTTGGCTCGTGGCGGCAAGGTAGTGGTGGCTCGTGGCGGCAAGGTGGTGGTGGGGCCAGGTCCGGCAGCCACGTCCACCGGCGTGGCGTCTGGGCAGGACGCCCAGCCACGGTGAGTGCGTTTGGGACATGCGCCAGTCACTGTGGCTGGGCGTCCTGCCCAGACGCCAGGCCGGTGGACGTGGCTGCCGGACCTGGCGCCACCACCAGCCACGGGCCGTCCTGGCCAGGCGCCCCAGCTGCCTTAATTTTATTTTTTTTTTTAATTTTTTTTTTTTTTTTTTGGAAAATCAGAAAAATTTTCTAATTTTTTTTAATGTGTTTGATTTTTTTTTGGAAAATCAGAAAAATTTTCTAATTTTTTTTAATGTGTTTGATTTTTTTTTAATATTTATTAATTTTATGTGTTATTTTTTATAAGTCTAGTATATATATTTTTTATAAAATCAAATAAAAAACATAAATTTCCACATCCTAAATCAAAACATAAATTTAATAAACATAATTTAAAAAAAATAAAAAAAAAAGGCAAAAAAAAAAAAATTAAAAAGTAAGGGCGGCGTCCAAACCAGACGCCAGTGCACTGGTGGTGGCGCCTGGCCTGGACGCCAGTGCACTGGTTGAGGCGCCTGGACTAGACGCCAGTGCACTGGTTGTGGCGCCTTGCCTGGACGTCCTTGCCATGGTTCCGGCGTCCAAACTAGGCGCCACCTCGTTTTCCGTCGAAGACGACGTATCTCCGGCGACCCTCGCCTCTCCGGCCTCCCTGGGCAACCCAGTACGACTCCACATTTGTTAGATTGAGATTTGTTCACTTTGGGTACGATTTTAGAAATGGGCAAAATTGTCAAACCATGTCTAATTTGTGGGCTTTATGTGGAGATTTGCGGGCGATGTTTAACAAATCCCTTGATTATTTGAATCGTAATATATAGGCCAATAGACATTGGTGGAATGTGGATTCCAAATTTTTGTATAGGATAGCATAATGGCTAAAACATGATTCATAATCTTCATATAGTTGTGTTAAAATTTAAAAATACTATCAATATAGTAATTTTTTTTTCTTTTTGAGAAATTGCAATATAGTAAAGTTATATAATATGAGTACATGACCAAATGACAAATGTACAAAATAAAAAGCAATAAGCCATAATCTATGTGCTTAAACTTATAATACAAAAATTCTAACAACCATCAAAAAAAATTCAAAGCTTTTAAAAGGGAGACAAAAGGACGTGAACATAGTTTTTTTTTTTTTTAAATACTCGTATATAATAAAGGGCACAATATTAAAGAAGTGGGAAAACTAATTATAAATACTAGATGTCTAGATGATATTAATTAAGCCGGAACATTTTTAATATTATTAATCTAATTCAACTAACCGTACTACTTTCATTACATTACAAAATAAAAATAATTTAAGCATCATCTATGGTATAGGTCATGGTCCAAACATATGCCATTTTAAATTTGCCCATATGCCAATAGCTTTAAGAGTTCAAAACTCTCATACACTACATCCACATATGTCATATACTCATATGGCATCGTATGTTTTCTCATATTAACACCATAAAATTACTCTGTAACAATAATCTTGTAATCCTACTTTGATTTTTCAAATGTCCATTATATTTACATCATACGTGATTTCTCACATATATTGTAGGTTAGAACTATTCAATAATAACACCCTAACCTAGGCTATAAACCATGATTATAGTTTAATACTTCAAACAAAAAAACAAAGACAATAAAGATAGTGCTGACAACACTAATTACAATAAACCACCATTCCAAAATCAGTACAATTCTAATTAGTTGAATATTATAGGCCCAGTCCAGCCCAATGACGTACGTTAATTGCGAGTTTAGATTACAGTTTTGACATAGTATTAAAGACTCAGCACTAAATTGTCAGCTACCTAAATATCTTTGACATTTTCACTTGACTTTTTCTTCTTTTTCTGCCATTTTCTCCCAAAAACTTCACTAATTAAACCACCTTTCTTCCTTTCTCTCTCCTACCAAACCGTTAATCCCTACATCCCCGCCATTTCCCTCTCCTCCATCTTTCAATGGGTCACGATATTCTCTCCAATTCGTCGGAAAACGTACCGGAAACCGCTGATTTCAAGATTCCGGCGACGGGAAACTCCGGTAAAACGTCGCCGGAAAATGAGAGCCGTGGAGTTTTTTACCCTCTCGAGAATCTTCCGAGACCCGAGGCACCACCGGGATTAAACGGTGACGTTTTGAAGAAGCCTTCTTTGGAGAATGATTTTACCGTTGATGTTCCGGCGATCGGAAAATATCTCCTTGAAACGAAGAACAGTCTTTCTGCTGCTATTTCGCGACGGTTGTCATTTGAAGACGACGTTAAAGGAGGTGGTGGTGTAACTGAGTTCTACATGTCTGGTATTCAAGTTGTCGTGCAAGCTAAACAGGTTGATGAGGAGAGTTCGGAGTTGGCTAAACTTAAAAGTCGAGTTACCTTTTACTCCAAATCCAATTGCAGGTACTACTTCGACTTTGTCATCCCGTTCAATTCACCTAACTTTTTACGTATTCAATTTATTGGAAGTGAATAAGTGATTTCATCTTTTCATTATTCATTTATGTTCTTTCATATTCCAATTTTAACGGTAAAAGATTAAAAGTTTAAAATTACTCCGTGATAATACAGAGTAGGTTTTTTCAATAGTTTAATGTAACACGACCATAATAGTACTAGACTACTAGTAAAGACGTGATATGGTGTTCTTTTACACGCGAGTGTTGGGAGTTACATCCTGTGGCTATGTTAATCAATGTAGAGTCAAATATGTAGTGTTATTGTG